TGTGCGTGTGTGTGTGTGTGTGTGTGTGTATGTGTGTGTGTATAGCATCAACAACTCATTTTTGTTGCTGGATAAAATGGTTCTAAATTTGTACAAAATGCCTTTGAATAGTAAAATCTGTATTATAATTGGACAAAAAAGTAAACATTTAAAAGTTTGACGTCAGCTTTTGAGATGAAAATGTTTTCTTGAGTTCTCATTGTGTTATATGTTTTACCGACAGCTGCCGTTTACACTTCAGAAGAAATATTTTCTTATTGCAGAGTTCATTGTATTTCAAACGTATCATCACCTGCTGATGTGTTAAATATATAGAGTTCAGATCATAATTTGATTTTATATTTATGATTTTTTTTTATGTGGGACAATAAAATGCATTTGAGTACAGTTTTCATGGGTTCCAAGTGTAAATCTTGCAACCGATCAGGTTATATAATTGCATTTTTCCAGTGGAAAATGTGTTTTTGTGCTGCTTGCACCTTCACACTTATGACCCGTGCATTGTAATTGTAATTTCCTGCCTGTGTCTTGTCCTTCTAGAATGGCCTGATGGTGAAAGTCACACAAACCTGCACAGAGATCAACTGCAGCCTCAGTGAACAGATCTTACCAGAGGGCAGATGCTGCAACGTTTGCATCGGTATGACTTCCTTTTTCCTGTATTTCATCTTTTTTTTTTTTTTTTTTTTTATCAAATCACCCTATCTTTGGATCTGTGTGTACCTGTTACACCTCCAGCATGAGCAGTAACTGCACAATACTCATCTCTGTGCTGATTAAGCCAGACCTAAGGTGTAATTTTCCTTTTTTCTTCTAACATGCATGCTTTTTGGGGCTGAAATACCTATCAGAGCAGATTGGTTTGTCTTCTATACAGAACCGGCCATGCCAATTTGCCAGAAACATGCTGCTTTGGCAGGGAAATGCTACAGGGTAAATAACCAGCAGCAAATCAGTAAATATACTGAATAAACAAACTGTATGGGACTGGCAGTTATATAGCCATTATAAGAAAATCCCAGGGCAGATTCTGCTACAAGAAAATTGCACTCCTGTCTATGTAAAAATAGGCAACATGCCTCCCACTCCCCATATTCAGAGACAAAGATAAAAAGTATGCAAAAAAGAAGCCAAAAAGACATTTAATGCGTGAGGGAAGTTTTTTTTTTTTTTTTAGTTCCACGCCGGCTTGATAAAAAGCAAGGCAAGGAATTGAAGAAGAAAAAAATTAGTATGGGAAAAAAGTGAAGGTAAATCTTATAAAGCACGTGTAATGAAAGAAGTTAAAAATAAACATATTGTAAGGAAATGCTGAGAGAAAACAAGATGAGGTAAGTATAGGGTTAAAATTAAAGGCCTTGCATTACTTTAAAGACTGCATAAAGTTTAAACCATTTTTACTCATATCTTGTAAATAAAATCGGACAGGGACTTCATTGTGACTTACAGAAAATTAATGCATACATATAGTAACTTGGGCAGCATGGCAGGTCAGTTGGCAGAGCTGTTGCCTCTCAGCAAGAAGGTCGCCGGTTCAAATCCTGGCTCAAGACCTTTCTGGGTGGAATGCATGTTCTCTCTGTGCATGTATGGGTTTTCTCTGGGTACTCCGATTTCCTCCAACAGACCAAAAGCATGCATGTTAGGCTGATTGGTAACTCTACTTGTCCCTAGGTGAGAATGAGTGAATAGTTGTTTGTCTCACTCATCACTATATGTCCCTGTGATGGACTGAGACCTGTCCAGGGTGTACCTGTAGAGTTGCACTCGGGTCCAAAAAATCAGATCCCAACAGGCCCCAGCCCACAGCCATCAGAACTGGACCCCACCCGATCCAACGGATTAACAGTAATTACAAGTCCAAACCCCCAAAAACCCTGACTTTGTTAATTAAGCTTTGACTACTTATATCAACGACTAGTATTAATGGTTGGCGGACACGCGCGGCTGAGTAAAGGGGGCAGAAGATCAGAGCTGAGGAGCCGTCAAAGCGCATTAAATACTTCCCCTGCTTCTGCCTGCATTGGACCCTGCTCTGACATGACGGATATTTTGTGATCTCACCTGTTTGGGTCATCAGCCGTCTGCGTCCTCTGAGTGCAGCAGCTGAATGAACGTCCATTTGGACTGATGGATCGCTGGCAGTAGTCCATCTGAAGCTTAACTGAACTTTTTACCTCTTTCAACTGGCCGGTCAGCGCATGGTCAAATGGCCGTGTGCAGCAGGTGATGGTATGGCAAGCCATGTTGGCATATAATTTGATCATCAGCCATGCACATCCCTGATGCAATAGAAAGCCCAACACTGACCCAGCCCACACATTAAGCATATTATTATAACCCAGCCCAGTCCAAATCCAGGTCGGATGGGGCCGGGCTCTGGGTTTGGGTTAGAAATGATAGCTCTAGTCCCCCGCCTCTCGCACAGTAATAACTGGACATGGGCACCAGTGACCCCCATGACCCAAAAGGGAAGAAGCAGGTAAAGAGAATGGATGGATGTAGTAACTTATTTAATTGCACTTTTCTCAATATTGCCATGACTTGGCACACTGGTAACAATGCTGCTCACACTCTAGTCTGGTAGGTGACTAAAATGCACCTTAGGTTTGTTCACCATATTCCATATACAGTAGATAGCAGCTCTTTGCTTCACACATGTGGGCTGTGGTAGCATCAGGAAGGACGGCTGGTCTAAAAACAATTACCAGATCTTTAAATGAGTTAGCTTGCTGCCATAATTTTGAAGTGATTAAAATATGTAACTATTACATTTTATACAGTTTATATTTTTTATGTACAAGTGTTTTGCTTTCTTTTACATTACACTGTTTTTATTTTTGCTCTGGGAAGCAAACCCAAATTTTGTTGTACTCAGGTGCAAAGACAATAAAGGTTTATTCTATTCTATATCCTGCAACCAAAAGATAAACAAGAAATTTTAATATTACTTTACAAGTTAGTTTTCAGGAATTCAGAGTCAGAGTTTCTTTATTTGTCATTTGCATCACATGTGGTAAATGTGGTGGAACAAAATTATGTCTACAGGGTCCCAGTTATATCCAACAATAAAATGTAAAAGAAAAACAGTAATAAGATTAAGATATGAACTAAGAAAAACATTAACTAAAATACACTAAGCACACACACACACACACAAAAAAACACACTAACAAAAGTGTTTCAAAACATTTTTGCCTTTGGCAGATGGCAGTATTAAGTAAATGTGTAGAGAAGACAGCAGGATACCAGGGCCAAGAACTAATTTAGGCAGTGGCAGCTAGCCAATAGAGGTCACTAAGGCGCCACCCCACCACTCACACCACTCACCATATTACCTTGAATTCATAAAAAATAAAAATAAAAAATGAAAAAAATAAAATAAAAATATTTTGAAATATATGTACATTTTTTTTGTTATGTAAGATAAATATTTTATAGTTAATGTTGAGTAAAGTTGTTTATTTCAAAAAATGCTGTTGTGACTGATGACGTATTTCTGCGATGGGGGTGCAAGAATCTTTGCCCATAGACTTTTGTTAAAAGTTGTACATGCACAGTTAGCTCCTCTTCACTACATGATATAGGACTATTCTGGGCGCAACACTCCTGCGCCAAGAGTACGGGTGCGCGATACGGATCGTGCTTCCGGTCCCAGAACAGATCGTGCAGTGATACATTTTAAATATTTTATCTCTATTTAAGCAAATGGCAAGTATACAACAAATAAACAAACGAATGAAGTATACAGAAGAACACAGCACTTACATACACAAACAACCAGGGGTGTTAATTAGACACATGCAAAGATTTACATATACATATTATCCTGAGGGCCTTTTCGTTGGTATAGTCTGTTATTGATTTAACATATAGTATAATGTAATATATATA